TATTATATTTAATTAAAAAAATTTAAAAAATATGTATAAATCTAAAAAAATGAAATTGTGTTTTTTTTATAAATGACAATAAATATAATTATCATGTGGTATTTTAAGGGTAACCAAATACATATATTTTACGAAATATCAAAAATTAAAAATAATTATTACTTCAATATTTTGTCTGTTGTGGAAAATAATACATGTATAAAATATTTAAAATTATTAATAAATTAAATAAAAAATAACTTTCTTACAATTTTAAATAGTTTTTTTAGTTTAATAATATTATGGTGCCTCAAAGAAATGAATATTAAACAAATACTTTTATACTAATATTATAAACTTCTTTTCATTTTTTAAATTAATTATTAATTATTTGTATGTATTTTATTACGACATGTAGGTATTTATTATTAATTTTAAATATACAATTTAACATTTATGTTTTTATAATCAACAGTATAATGTGATTTACTTTCAATAAATACAATTTAAATGCAAACCAACTAACTGTGAAAGTGCCTTTATTAGAATATTTTTTTATTCTGTCACTATCGCCATAAATTCTTTTATCACTTATATTTTTTATCTTTAATGCAACAGATTGTGGAAACAAATAATCAAAGTTAAAAAAAAAAATGCAAATTATGTATAATATTATATGTAGTATAAATAAATAATGAAAAATACCTAATGACTGATGTTTCTTAAGAACATGTCGAATTTTACGAAGTATTCAAAGGGCGTTTTCATTTTATGAAAACATTGATTTCACAAATGGTTCCAATATAGTATACGTACTTAAATTTTTCTATTCGAACACGGTCCTCGAATATTATTACATCGAATGTAGAAGATCAAGCATATTTCGACGATAGCAAATAAAATTGTGCGTTACATTTTATCGCTACCGTCAAGTCAAAAGAAATTTCGCAGTAGTACGACACTTTGGAATATATTTCGGAATCCTTTGTCTCTCTAGTTTTGTTTCAATAAAATACAGTCGATGACTATACACAGTATAATATGTATTATTTCTTTAAAATGAAATATCAGTCATCAAGGAGTGCGCCATACGGTGTATCATTGAACTACGAACACCTATTACACTAAATCCGCTGGGTCGCACCGGTTGATCGGCTAAAGAGAGAAATAACTCTGTATAGTAATGTTCGTATGAGAACGATGATAGACTCGAAATTTAGTCGAAATTATAATTTTTTCAGAAAGCGAATTAATAACGATGAACTCTTATTATATACCTTATTACAAATATTATTACTAACACTGTCACAATTATCCAAAACTATCGTTTGAAATCATCAATAAAAATCCGATTCGATTGCCATTTAACATGACATTGTCTCCCGTTATAGTCATCTACTTCTACATGACAAAATAAATTATTTGTTTGAATAAATTAATTCATCACGCTCGTACGCACGAAATAGTGTTGTTTGGACGTGTATCGGGAAACGGGAAACCGGCGGCGATGAAAGAGATTTGGAATGTGTATTCGAAACGCAATACTTTTCCACTGGGTATTAACCATAATTGTTACGATCGGCCAGTCACTGACGGTCCGTTGGATCGACAAAATGCCAATAGATAGCGTTTTCGAGCACGGTCGTTTGCTGACGCGATTTCCGTGCGATCGCCGGGCGTTTAGAACTCACCGAGTCCACAGACTTTTTCGTTCAGTCGTAATGAAAACGCCTAAAGCTTACACTGATTACGTTCCGGACGCATCTCGACATGATCGACTTCCGTTTACAATTCGGGGAAACGGTATGATGCAAACAACAGCAACTGCACGGCATCGGTACTTGGCCGATTGTATATAGCAATCTGAACGACATTCAGACGATAACTCCGGTTCCCTTTCAAATCGAAAAAATCTTTCGCCTTTTACTAAAGATTTCCGTGGAGGGGAGCATTCAAAGGAGTCTAGAAAATTAATTTTTTAACTGCCTGACCATACTGGTCGGGCTTCTAATGTATACGATGACTCTTCAAACTACTTGATAAATACACTCTAAATTATGATAGCGACTAGTGTGACTTGTATCACAAGTCGACCGATTTCTACTAGGGCACTTCTTTCTGTAATTGTCCGAGTTGTGATACAAGTATCATAAATTAAAATTCCACCTCGGTCCTTATTGCTTAGCGTCTAAGCCGACACGACGCTTAATCGTTATCACTGTTATAGTATTGTTATCAAATATTAGTGTTCGTCGTCCGGCCTATTTGCTATTCAATCACTGCTCGCCCTCGCACGATCACGCCAAACTATTTTCTTATATCTAATCATCATCGAACACGACGCACGCTGTTTATTACGGTATCTTCTCAGTTTTATTTCCTTTTACGTTTTTATTTATTTTTCCATCACAACAAAACGGTGAAGCACTCCTTTTTTATGTACGAATAATTTGTTTATGATTTATTTTAGTAAAGATGTGACTTACACGAAAAGACGTTACTCTACAGTAAAGTCTATAACATATTTTCCAAACCTTGTTAGATACGACTACAAGTTTATAATTTATTATATTTTTGTTAATACGTCCGTGCTCCGCATAGATATAATAATAATTAAGTGTAATTTCTAATTTTACAACAAAAAATATTTTAATATATAGGTAGTCATCGACCATCGTAACGTAAATGTAGAATATAATTACATTGAAATCGTCCAACCTACAGTAAACGAATATGTTAAAATTATTTATAAAATTTAATTATCCGTTTAGTGTATTATAAATTGTATAATTAGTATTTGTTTATATTAACTATGTGACTTAATATTTAATATTTATATTATATTACTATAGAAACAACGTGGAGAAAAACTAATTACAATTTTAGCGGTGCACAAGGACAATGGTAATTAATTTCAGCAATATGTCTATTTCAGTTTTATTGCTAATAAAAACCATATCATACTTGAATTTTCATATTATTATGATAATAATCGTTATGGGTTAAATGCTTAAATTTTAATTTTATAATTGACTTAATAATACGTAATTCTGATTTTTATAAATTAAAATTTTTTTTTAACAGTTATATAAAATACTATACGATATTTTGATAATTTAATATTTATTTATATTTTTGATATTTTAATTTAATGATTGACTAAAAATTGTATGTATAATTTATGTGGTTTTTAAATGAAAACACATTTGACTTTTTTCATAGTATCATTTTTTTTCGTAATTTCGGTAATATAATAAGTAATAACTAATAATTAAACCTAATGGCTATTTGCTAGTTACTACTGAGTATAACTATAACATATAATATTGTATTAATTTATTATACTGTAACTTATTTATACAATTCTATCTATTCCTTCACTTGCGATAACACAATAGTTTTGTAAAAAAATTAATTGAAAAAGAGATCCTGTATTCAGCATAATATTGAGAATACCTTACCTAATGATTATTAATTTCTTTGATCGCGTCTATGTATGTAGATTTCTTCTTAACAAAAATAAAAAAATTATTTCAGGTTCCAAAATTTTTCTTTTCATTATTATAATTGTTCTTATTTTTTTAGTAAATCTAATAGCTGATTTAGGTTTTGTAAATGCATAAAAATATTTTATTATACTATTGGTGATTATAACAATTTTATTAGGTATACACTACAACTGACGCTATTTTAAGTTATAATACATTCACTTAGTAAATACTTATATCGATTAATTAAAATTATATGTTGGTAATTCTTAATAAAAATAATATACATGTTTATTATATTTCTATTTTTATAGAAACACAATTATTATATTATAATTGATTATTTAGATATTAGGTATATAACAACATACAATTGCATAATTCAAAGTATATAGTTGTAATTTCTAATGACATACCTACCTACTAAAATAATACTCAGTGCCGGATTTTATTTTTTAATTTAGGCGTGAGCCTTCACTAAAATTATTTTTTTTTTTTACAAACAATTATTCAATTACAAAATACATTAGATACTACTATAAATTTTAATTTGCAATTTAAAATCACAACTTTAATGATAATGTTCAATCATTATACATTCACAAATTAATAAATACTTAGTGAAATTAGTGCATAAAAACGAGAATACAAATAAGAATAATATTTAATAGGTCATACGTAGGTACTTAAAAATTTGTGCAACGGTCATTGCAAAAAATGGAAAAATAAAAAATAGATTACAAACTTCGATGACACAAAGTCAATTATTAGGCCTGATAATGTTCTGAAACTCAATACCATCTTTTAAGTGGTCAGTGGCATACTTAGATTATTAAATGTTTCTCAAATGGTTGAAAAATGTACAACAAAATCTCAAATAGTATTAATATAATTAAATACTTTTTTGTATCATATTATTTATTTTCTGTGTTAATTATTATAATATAGTTAAATTTTTTTTGTCATAGCTACTTGAGAATAAAATATTTTTTGTAGTAAATTTTAATATATTATTATTATTCCGTGGAATTAAAATACAATAGCTATTACCATTGATTATAAAAACTAGTATTTAAAATCAATGCTATTAGTAAGAGTTTAAAAATGACCTCAAGGCCTCCACATTCCTAATTCTAATACTAATAATACTTTTACTTGGTATCTAAATATTACATGTATTATTTTATTTATGAAATATAAATATTGTTTTAAAATAACTAGTACCTATAGTAATACATAAACATATTAAATAATCATTAATTAATGGTATAAACATATACACTAAAGGTACACAACATTAATTATTATTTAAACTATATTGAATTTTGGAATTATATCTAAAAAAAATATGTTTCTAGTTTCTACTGTTTTTAGTTCATGTTTATTATTAACATATAATATATAGATCTTTAAGTAAACAATAAATTTCATTTATTCCGTGATAATACCACCACCTTATCAGAAAGTGATAAGTGGCACATTTTCTAGGAGCTATTAGTTTTATTTATTGCAGACGTTATGTAAAATTAAAAATTAAAGATTAATATTTTTATTTATTTTTTTTTTTTTAATACCGTTTAAAGTTTAAATATTTTTAAATTATGATGAAGTTTAATGGCTTATTCCGATCACAAATATTTCATAAGTATAAATTGGTTTTCAATAAAACAATGTTTATTCGGTCAACAGACAAGCCAAATACAGAATCAATTACAAGACCTAAGTCCCAACCATATACCAAATATTTTGTCTTAGATTTTGAAGCTACTTGTGATAATGGGGCTCATTTATTAAAACCTCAGGTTGATTTTTATTTTAAGTTTAAGTGTTAAAATTATATTATATTTATTGTTAACTTTTCAAAAGAAAAAAAAGAAATTATCATTTATATTTACAATTGGATTAATCACAATATTTGATATGAAATTTAAAATATCTTGCAGAAAAAATATAGCATTGAGATAGTATATGAATTAAAAAACAGTGCGTTCAAATTTACCAGTTTTATTAATGGTAATATACAGTGGTGTGGCGAAGTGAAATATTTTATCGGGCAATTCATTTTTTGAATAACCTACCACCGCTTAATTCTTACACAGTACCCGCTACCCATGACCCATGTGCCATACTATATACAACAAAAAAGTACCTTTATTAAATCAATATAAATTACTTTATTTTGTATGCTATAAATGAAGTATTAATTACTATGTAGTCCACCGTACACTTGGAAATTAATATTAAATTCATGTAAAAGTAACTAAAAAATAAATTTAATACTTATCATAAACAACTTTATAAACTTAATATATTAGTTTATAACTAATAGTTATACAAAAATAACAATATAAAAAGATGAAAATGTTTGCATGAATTATGAATAGTATTTATATAAAATTGCTTATTTTTATTATTAGTTATTCGTAGAATGTACACTGTAGTATAATGTGTAATTAATAATATGTAGGTATACTATTAGATAGCTTTTCTTAGCATAATTATAACTATTGAAGTTATTATTCTTATTAAATAACAAATTAATTCAGATGATGTAGTCAGGTAGTCTTGTATAATAATATTTCTTACTAAATCCAGTACCCACCAACCCAGCACCCACCCCTTAAAAATGATCGGGCATCTGCCCTTCAAAATCACGGTCAACACGCCACTGGTAATATATGGGATGTTTAAAAGTAATAAGTAATAAATAGGTACAACTTTATCAATTGTCTTAATCCTTTTTTCTAATAAAGACTCGTTAAGATTAAGGACTATTTAAAATTATATTATTTTGTATATACATTCTTAATTCTGATTATCGACACTAATAAAAGAAGAGTGATGTTTGGTAATGATATTTTTAAGATAACAGTATAGTATTTATAGTATTGAATTACTTGGCACTTAATTTATTTATCAAAATTACACTTAAAAGTCCTTTATCAATTTTACTGACTAACATTTAACTTTTAAATCCATTATTACCCTTAGGAGGCGTCTTTAAATTTAAAAGTTATAACAAATTGTTACATTTGAATAATGATTTTGAGTAGATATTTAAATGCTCAAAAAAATGTAATATTTTACTAGAGTAGATGCATTTATTTTCTCATCAGTTTATATACATTTTTTGGAATTTAGTTTAAAAAAATCTTAAATAGTATTTTTTTCAGTATATAAAATTATTCCATTTCATTTTTTTAAAGCTTTTACTGTATTTAACGCATTGAATAAAACTACCCATGTTATATCATATACTAAAATTAATTTAATACTAATTCATCATATTTAGAATCTTGTAACAATTTAAAATTATTAGGACAATAAAGATTTATCAATAAATACTAATAAAAAAGCAAAATAATAAGTGTTATAATAAAAATTATTTTAGGTATTATATTAAAATTTGTATTTACTTATTGTTTATCTAATATTACATTTAATGTTCTTTGTATATTTGTTTTAGGAAATAATTGAATTCCCATGTATACTTGTAGAATTTAATGCGGCTAAAGGAGGCTTTGAAGTAGTATCTTGTTTTCATTCATATGTTAGACCTATAATTCATACACAGTTGACAGAATATTGTACAGAGTTGACTGGTATTACACAAGTATGGTATTTCAAAATCTAGTTTTACAAATGTTAAGCTTTATAATACAATTTGTTATAGTTACCATTAATCTTAATTAAAAAAATTACTAAATTATTTATTAATATTAAATAATTTAAAATAACTATTTATTTTCATAGGTAAGACAAATATTAAAAATAATCCTAGATTTATGTCAGTTTATGATAAATATTTATTTAAAATATTTTTATTTTATTTAATGTTTGTATTTTAATATTATGTGACCTAAATGTTTTTTTAATTTGTTAACATCTATTACTACATAAAAAAAAGATTAGATTTGTCAGACAGTTCCCATTTTTGAGGACCTTTAAACATGTTTAAATATTAAACAATTGTAATTTTATTAAGTAATAAAAACATTATAAATTATGAGTATTAAAATTAGATAATAAATATATATTTATATATTGAAATACTAGGTATATAACTAATTGCAGTTTTATTCTACTAAGAATATTAAGTATCTTGTAAATATATCAAGACATTAGCTATAGATTTAATCTTTAACTAATAATTTACAATTCTTAATATATGCTACTAAATAGTATATGCTCTGAGACTAGATAGAATGTATGAAATATAATTATTAAAATATTGTAATGTTTGAAAAATGAATTTTACTTTTATGATTTATCAATATTTAATATTTATCTATATTTATTAATAAATTAAATTATATATTAATGTATGTATAATTATTTATTTAGTAAAAATAGAACTTTTAATTATTATTAAAAAAATAAAAATTGTATATGTTTTTGAATATTAGGATATGGTCAGTAATAGCCCACCATTTGATGATGTTTTTTTCAATTTTTGCAATTGGCATAATAATCATACCAATATGGAAAAAGAAAAATCTATTATTGTAACATCAGGAAATTGGGACATTGGTAAAATGTTCATTGAACAATGTAAATTATATCCTTCAATAAAAATTCCAGAATTCATGTGTACTTGGATAAATATTAAAAAGGTATCTCAAAAAAATATTTCAATATTTTCAATTAATTAAGAATTTAAAAATAAAAATATATTTTATTGTTATAATTTTAATAGTTATTTGCTCTGACAATGGGACAATATCCATTAGGTATAAAAAATATGCTTAAGACAATAAATTCAAAACAATTTGGTAATATTCACTGTGGAATTGGTAATATTCATTTAAAATAAATATTTATAGAGAATATAGTTATTATTATTTGTGTTTATGCTTTATAGATGATTGTGTCAACATTATTACCATCATGAATCAATTATCACAGAGAGGTTGTGTATTTCAAGCTACTAATAAAATAATCAGTGTATAAAATATATTTTGTATAATATACCATAATAAGTAAAATCAAAATAAATAATAGGATTTTTAGTTATTTTTACCTAATTTTATTAATATTTGATTAAGAATGGATTCAAGTGTTCAACATTTAAATTTGTTGTATAATTTATTAAAAGGTGAGAAATTCTTAATTTTTAGTTTTTAAGTTTTAGCATAGCTATATGTACAAGTGGAACATAAAATATATCATATATACATACTAAAGTCTCAATATCTTAAAACATTTTCTATAAATGCTTATTTAAATAAAAGCAGTATTTTTAAAATATAATCTATCACTAAAAGTTTATTTTATAATTTATTCATAATATATTTTTATATATTATTTTGATTAGTATGTGATGATAATATAATTTTTATCTTTTTATAATTTACTAATAATTGTTGTAATATGAGTGAATTTTAAACTGTAAATGAACTATCTATGTATTACAATTGTCAGTAGCTAAATTTTCATACATGTGCATTTTTATTTAATTAGGCAATAAATACCTGCATATACAAATATCATTTTCACATAGTTTGACTCACAATAGTTCCCATTACATAATTTATTAATGATTCATTTTTTTTTTAAATACTAATTTACAATTTCTATAGACACTATATAAATGTTGCCTTATTTTCTCTAATGGTTACTCTATTAAACTACTAAAACATTCATTGCATTGCAAATTCATATTTTTGAAGTAAAATATTGTAAGTTATTTATTTTTTCATCATATCAATCTCATTTTCACCTATTTTCATGACTTATAAGTACCATTGATTTTTATTATACAAATTTTTATTTTTTTTAAAGTGTAGTATAATAATGGATAAGTCCCAAGGTAAATGGCCTGAACACGTAGGCATATTGGCCTTAGAGATAGTAGTACCTTCTACTTATGTAAACCAGGATGACCTTGAGCTGCATGATGGTGTATCCAAGGGCAAGTATACAATCGGGCTAGGTCAAGAACGGATGTCATTTTGTTCAGACCGTGAAGACGTTGTTTCATTGAGTCTAACTGCTGTTAGTTTGCTGATGCACCGTACAAAAACAAGTATATATAAATATATTTGTACCAATTTAAATGGGTTTTGATTTTATATGGTACATTTTAATACAAATAAGGTTACTCCAATATTGGCCGACTCGAAGTGGGAACTGAAACACCAATAGATAAGTCCAAAAGTATCAAGTCTATGTTGATGCGTTTATTTAATGATTGTAACCACAACGTCGAAGGTGTAGATTCAACCAATGCATGTTATGGAGGCACAGCTGCTCTTTTCAACTCAATAGCATGGTTGGAATCCAGCGCTTGGGATGGTATATTTTCTATATAATAAGAGATTTATGAATTTACTGATTAGTAATTACATTCATCAAATCATGGTTTAAAACAATTTGCATTTATATATTTATTGGCAAAGGTTATTTATTTTTGCTTTCAAACTGTTATTATAGTTTATAGATAGTTAAACAGCAGTAAATAAGAAACACATATCTAATTTTGTTTTATAATTTAAATCAAAAAATAAAAGTACAATTTTGCAATTATAAAGTTGACAATGAAAAAAAAAAAAATAAATTAATCATTTAATAAATTTTCATCAATTTTAAAATGTGCTATCCATGTTGTATTTATAACATTAAAATTAAATTCATAGCATGACATTAAAAGTTTAAATTTTAATGCTTTATTATTATACCTATATTATCATTTTTATAAGTACATTTTACATTCCTATCTTAAATTTAGTAATAAATCATAATTTGAAACTAATAATTCATATTTTAATGTTCTGTTGTAATTTACTTATGTACATTGTCTATAGGACGGTTGGCTATTGTTGTTGCTGCAGACGTTGCAACGTACGCTCGCGGTGGAGCAAGGCCAACAGGTGGTGCAGGCGCTGTGGCAATGTTACTTGGACCTAATGCACCCTTGGTGTTAGATAGAGGTTCGGAGATAGAACTATATAATTTTTTTCCATCACATTTTTTTATACATGTTTATATATATTATATTAATTTATATTATACATTTTTTTTAATAACATTGTATTTTTTTAAATTCTCTAATCGAAATGAAAACCTAGAACTGAGAGCTTCTCACATGGATGACACATATGACTTTTACAAAGGAGATATGAGCACAAATTATCCAACAGTGGATGGAAAAGTGTCAATCCAATGTTATTTTGAGGCGCTTTACAATTGCTACTACTTGTATCGAAAGAGGTTTTTGAAGAAATTCATTGATATCAAAAATGACGAGTGCAATAATATGAGTAATAGCTTAATAAAATGAATACATTAGTATAATTTTTACTTTAACTTATTCTGAAGATGTTGAAATCATATAAACCCAAATTTACTGTTGTTACTTAAGGATTACAATTAATTTTGTTCATGTACGTGTAAACATATAATGTTATAGGCCCTAAGAGTGTGTTGCAACACTTTGATGCAATTGTGTTTCATTCGCCTTATGGAAAACTCGTAAGGAAAGCATTTACTTGGTTAACGCTTCATGACATGCAGTTAGATGTTAAATGTTATGAGAATGAATCAAATCTATTGAAATATGTGTAAGCAAATTAATTGTGTAATAACTAAAATTTGATTTTCAATTAAAAATAATTACTATTTAGACACTTTTCTTCAAATATTGTTAGAAAAATGTATTATTTATGATTGTTTAAAAAGAATAAAATTGTGAATATTTTCGATTCACGAGTTACAACAACTAAAAGTTTAACTAATAGTCTTAATTCAATAATACAAATACAATTAAAACTTAATTATTTATTTTTCACTCTTTTTTTATATCTAAATTTGTTTGCTTGGATTGACTAAACCAAAGACATCTTTAAATTTTTTAAGCAAAACCATCAAAATAATTCACATGATAAAAGCAAATTATATTTTAACTTTATAGAATTTTAATATTTTCAAAAATTTTTATAAATCTTTTATAAATTATTTTTTGTGGAAATAAAATATATTTTTGAACTCTACACCCAAAACCACATTATTTCAAAAAAAAAAAAAAATCATGATTGTATGGGATTGGTGCACAATTACCCTTTGATTACCTTTAAAATAATATATAAAATTATGAACTGCCTGTTAGAAACACGGATATCAGTGTCAATATGTTATCAGATTTGAGTGTCATAAAAGACACAGAACAATTGTTTAAAAAATTCACTGCGCCAACACAAAAATTACCCAAAAATATCGGGAACATGTATACAGCATCTATATTTGGGGGACTGATTTCATACTTGCTTAGGTAATTATATAATGTTTAGTTTAAATTGGTTTTATAATTTTATCATAATATGGACACAGAAATATGTATAGTAATTTAAATGTAAATTAATTTAATTACAGTAAACCTACCTATGAAATGGCTGGAAAACGAATAGCAATGTTTTCATTTGGTTCTGGTATGTGTTCTTCATTTTATTCAATTACTATACGCCCAGGAGAAAAATTAGATACCCTTATTGATTTATTGCAACACATTCCTATGATGTTAGAAAATAGACATTGTGCATCGACTAATGAATTTGAAAATACATTAACAAACCGAGAGTTAGCTTACAATAAAGGTAATATATATATTATTATAATTCTACAAAATAATTACTTTATACTTGAATAATAGTTGTATATTTCTTATCTAAAGTCTAAAAATAAAATTATTTAAATTGTTTTACTTTTACAGCACCTTTTGAACCTACTTCAAATGTTGACAATTTGTTTTCTGATTCGTGGTACTTGACTCATGTTGATAGTACTTTTAAACGATATTACGCACAAAAGAAATAACAAACTATTTCAGAAATACCAATTATTTTTAATATATTTTTACAAGATGAAAATAATGTCTATTGTATTTATTATTAATTTTAAATTATATTTTCTTTTCTTTTGATACTGTTAATGAGTTCTTGTATATCGCTTGCAGAATATTTCTGAAAAATAATTTAAATTATTTATATTTTTATTGTGAATTTAACTTGTAGTAAAATAATGTTTAAGAATGGACCATTATTAAATTAAAAGTAAATAACATACAATTTCAAAATAAATGAATCTATTTTTATTTATATTTATAATGGCCATTAGATATCCTAAAACAAAATATTAAGTTTATGTAATAAGTAAAAATTTAAGCACTGTTATTGTTACAAAAAAAAAAAAAAAAAAAACAAAAATTGATTTGGATATCAATGAAAAGAAGTAAAATTAAAAACTTTTCACCATTTTGTATAATTTTCTTACATAATGAAATTTTCAAAATATTTAGATTGATTTTAAGCTATTTGTACACCAAACCGATTCACATCATTCTGCTAAATAAGATTCAGAAGTTAAGGCAATATAAATAGTAAAAAATCACTTAAAATAAAAATAAAGGCATTCAATAGGATTTTATATGCAAAATAAACAATTCAAATTTATTAGGTTTCAAAATAAAATATGAGAAAAATTTTATAAATTTATCATAAAAGTATTAATATTATTGACATTCATAAAACAATTAACTTACTGATTTTGTTGGCAAAATTTCTTTTCTTGTTGAATTATCTTCAGGGACAAATTTCTTCTGAAAATAATTTTAATGCATCATGAAATGAAATGTATATATATTTTACATGATTTATTATATCTAAGAATATAAATTTAAATCTATTATCTTATATATGTTATTTTTTAAAGATTTATGAATCTGTGCTATGGTTCATACTATTTTTAGATAATAAAGATACATAGACATTAAACAAATAAACAAGAACTACACTTAATAGCAGCATTGTTAGAATTGTATAAACATGTAAGTAATTATATAACCTGTCTTGATGAAAATTATCCATATACACTAATATTCAATTTACAGTACTCGTCTAATATGCTATCTACTGTAAAATTACATCTACCAAAAAACTGTATGCGTGTAGTATGCTACCTATCGTAGTTATTTTTATTTTATTGCAGGAAAGTACATTTAAGTCATTATGATATCTGACCCACCAAGACCCATGATAACTTACTTTTAAATATATTATTTTAGTCTATGTTGTGTCTGAGTTGTGTTAACAAATGTGTCCTAATCATAGTGAGTTTTACTTTTTATTTCTTATTTTAAAATAAACAAAAATGAACAAATCAATGAGCAATTTGTAAGGACATATAATATGTAATGAGGAAACATGTGTTAATTCTCTTCAAGAAAGAAACTTGCTCTCAGAACTTGATAGTAGTTCCAAATTAAAAGATGGTGTTATTTGTGGAGACACATTGAAAGAATATAAAAAACAAAAAATAATCGTAAAAGGGGCTCAAATGATGATTTATTAAAAACTACTTATTTACGATGTCAAAAAAAGTTGCCAAACTTATCACTCTTTAAGAAAAAAATATCCTTTTTTTTACATATTAATAAATTATTATTAATCAGTAAAATTTTTTTGATAGGTATCATACTACACCGATGAAGTAGCAGTAGGTAGCATATTAGACGACTACCCAATCTACTTTTATATAGAACTAAAAGCTTAATAACAAAGTGACATAGTTTACTAAATAAAATATTCAAATATAACAAAGAACCAGCATATTCAATAACTTCCATTTAAAACACATACAATACTAAAATAAAATGTCAACATGCATCCAATAAAAAAATATTATTTAATCAATAAATAAAAATAAATTTACCTGTCTTATAAAAACATCAGTCTTTAAATTATGTTTTATAACTCCTGTATCTTGGTCGATAGAAAAAACATTTGATAATGAGTAATTTTCATTGATATTTAATAAAATATTTTCCAATTTTAATACATGATCTTCTAATGATTTTAATCTATCATAAATATCAATGGTACTTTTACAATCACTTTTAATATTCAATACTGTTTCTATGTTTGATATTCTTTCATGCACATCTGGTTTTAATCCAACAGAACTTTTATTATTTGATAAATTGTAACTATTTAAGCTAGCTAGGTCTAAACCACCATTATTTAGAGGTCCTAAATTATTCTGCACTTTTGTCTCTAAAAAAAAAAATTAATTGAATTTATATTACATAAAAAGAGTATATATTATTTGAAAAAAATACTATACTTTTAACAAAGCATTCAGATCCTTTCTGACGTTTAGCTTCTATTGTATTACATGTTCTCGAAGCACTAGAATGATTTCTGCTAGATTTTGAGTTACAATACATTCTCATATTTCTATCATGGTTTTCATCTCTTTTTCTCTTTAAAAAATGTTCAATTCTTCTGTTGACCTACCATGAAAATATTATAATTAACAAAAATAATTTTTTAATTGTATACCATTACAATAATAAGGTTTGGGCGAATGAGATACTTACCACAGCATTAGATTTATTTATTTGAATTTCATTAGAATCAAAATTTGCAATTTCATTGCCGTTTTCCATGCTTTTTAATTCAGTAGGCTATTCATATAAATATATAAGCTTGATGCATTTATTCACTAGGTATTTCTTCAGCTGTACACAACATACATATGAAAAATGAGCATGTCCATAATTGATAAAGTAATATATAATAAAAATATATCGTTGAAGTTGATAGGACTATAAAGCTTAAGTGGCTTATATTATAGTCATATTTAAATCCTACAGAAAATTTGTATTTTTTAATTATATTATAATCAAATAAAGGATAAGCTAGTTGGTTAAGGTCAAGTTATTTGTATTAGAAATTATACAATTGAAATTTTATGTATGAAATATTAATATACAGATTACAAACAAAATTTAGAGTAAAATTGTTATTAGAATATTGTCGCAAATGATTATACCTAATTTGTAGTCGTATAATAAATAAATAATAATTATTATGTACTAGGTATGTAGTTAAGAATTACTAAGTTACAACTTAATACGTTTTTTTTTTGTTTTAAACTTTTAATAAAAATATTGAAAATAAAGAATTACAGAATAGAAATATCAATTACTTATTACTATACCTACCTGTTATCACAAATCACAATAACTACAACGAATTACAGAATTAACCAAAGACTTTATAAACACATCATATACAGTCACGGAGTAGAAGCTGTTCTGTGATAGAAGTAAACTATGTCAACTATATTATGGCGCAATTTAAAGTGTGGTTTGTAACGATGCTACCAATTTCCCTCACATCACCAACACATGATAACATTGATAACAATTAATAAGTAGGTACAAAAACTCGAAATAGAGAAAATATGTGTCTAAAAAATAACACGTATTTAATTTAAACGCGAAAGCGTTGATTTTAGCTTTTATTAAATAATGTTGAGAAATAAAGGATGAAGAAATAGTACAGATTAAATAAAACTAGATACTAGATGGCACATTTTCGAAAATCGTAAAATACTAAATAGTAAATGTTTGTGCTTCTCAAATCAGTATGGTTAAGAAAGGAAAATTAAATTTGTTATTTTTCAATGTATTGATAGTATGTTGTATGCTAACAAATATTTTTCATAATAATAATTTGTTTTGTTTTGTTTATATGTCTAAAATATTATTGTAAATGTATCAACCATATTTATGTCACTTATTTAATATTTTGGCTCTACTGTAACGCGTCGTTGTTTGGAAATGTATTTTTTAATGTTTTTCCCGAAGTGCACTATTTGGTTGTACTTAATCTGTGCAAATAGTGTGTAAAATAACTACGTGATCGAAAGATTTCGAGTCAATTACCGTAGAGATACTAGAGACGAATCATCGAAAGTGAAACGTGCGTGTATTCGATAACGGTCAGACGGGTACAAAGAATATATAAAAAATCTCAACATTCACAACTGTTTAAACAAATAATACATTGAAAAAGAATACAACATGCTGTAGTGATAACGTGTTATATTGTCAAACAATACTGATAACAATATTTTATAGATAACCAAACCTAGGTAAAAAAAGTAATACAAGTCTACAACTGATTAGTGCTTAAATATATAGTGCCAAACTATTAAGTTTACTTGGAAAGTATAAATTTTACACCAAAAAAAATTAACAATAGTGCTAACAGTGCAACTTCTGAGTAATAAAATAATTATAAAGTATTAGTAATATTATCTATTGATTTGTAAATTAAATAACGTTTATGGCATTCAATTGTAAGTTGTACCTGAAAGTCAATTTATTTAACTTAATATTCATTAATCTATTTAAAATTTAAATATTGTTTTTGAGATATTATTGTACAAGTTATTTTATCCACAATGGAAAATAAAAAAACACAAGTCAAAATGTAAGGATTAAAATTAAACGTCTTTTTACATCATCTCATCGTTGTTGAAATTGTTTGTATACAGATTAGTTTGCTGTGGTATCAAAGGGCAGATAAAACCGTTTATTGATTACATAGAATCATTGTTTGCTAAAAAAGGCACGTTTGACTATGTTTTTTGCATTGGAGATTTTTTTGGAGACGATGAATCCTGCGAAAAAGAATGGGAAGAGTTTAAAAAGTCAGGCAGAAATAGTAAGAAACTTCTGTTATTTATTTGAGTGAATTTATAGTTAATTTTTTTTTTTTTTTTAAAGTTTCAGTTCCTATTTATACATTGGGACCAAATAAGAAACAACATGAAAAATATTTTAAGAATTTAAAAGACCAACAATTAGCACCAAATATCTATTATCTTGGTTGGTTATATTTTGTTAGTTATAATAAATAGTTATAATAATGTATTAAAAATTATTTATATTATGCTTATAATTCTCTTTTTTAATCAGAAAAATATTTTTTATTTGTGTTTATTAGGTAAAGATGGAGTTTTTACTACTTCAGATGGTCTTAAAATAGGTTATATCAGTGGAATACAAAATAATAGTAGTAAGGAAAATGAAATTCATACATTTAATTACGATTCTCTATCTCAGTTCAGAGATTCTTGTATTCGAGCTGGAAGTACGTCATTGGATGTACTATTAACTTCACCATGGCCATTAGACATTCGCAACAAAGAGCGAATTCTTGAAGTACAAATTATTATTTAAGCAACATTATAATTTAAAATATATGAAATAATTTCATGAATGTATTTAATTATTTTTTTATAGAACATAAATGTTAAGGAACCTACAGAAAAAGAAAGTGAATCTCAGCTTTTGTCATGGGCAGCTATTAATTTAACTCCACGTTATTACTTTGCTGGTTTACAAAAAGTGTTTTATCAGCGTAGTCCGTACAAGTATGTTGTTTTATATTATTATTTGTATTCATTTAATATTAAACATATTTTTGGCTCTATAGAAATACCAATAGTAAGACAATAACACGATTTATTGGTTTGGGTGATTATTATGACAATAAAACAAAAAAACAAAAATGGCTTTATGGCTTTGTTTTATCACCAGCAGAATCCACTACATCGAATACTAACTATACTGTTACGGAATCACCATTTGCTGATAATATATCTCAGTATACTGCTAATATGTTGCCAGTTTCAAAGCAATATTTTTTTAATACAAGCACTAACAGCAATTATAGAAATAATGAAAATACTAAAAAGAGAAAATTTGATGAACAACCAATCAAACAATGTTAGTACAATTTATTTATCATATTGAATAATTTGTAGATGTACATCAGTAACATAATAATTTTATATTTTTATGCAATTTTTTTATAGCTATTGATATTAACACAGATTCTTGTTGGTTTTGTTTATCGAGTAAAAACATAACTAAGCATTTGATTATATCTATTGGGAATCAGGTATTCAGTAATTTGTCATTTATACTTAAGTGAAGTTTTAACCATTAGCATTAATATAATATAAACTAATTTGTTTAAGGCATACTTATCAGGCACTAAAGGTCCATTAGTAAAAGAACATATACTAATAGCTCCAATTGAACATTACAAATCACTTGCTGAAGTTCCACCAGAAACAGAAAATGAAATAAATTTGTAATTATCTAGTCATTTTTTTCTTCTAAAATTAGGGCATCGTGTTTACGAATTAAAATAAAATTACTAATTGGTTTTTATTTCCATTACAGGATTAAGAGTTCTTTAAATCAATATTTTGAAATCACAGGTCGTGTAGCAGTTTATTTTGAACGTAATATTTTATCTGCTCATTTTCAATTACAAGTAGTTCCAGTTCCTATCAGAATAGCAGATCGCCTCGAGAACATGTTCAAGGTAATTAAAAATATTTATTATTCATAAGTTGATAATTTATAATGTATTAACTTTTAATTATTGTAGGCAAAATTTAAAGAATATGATCTCAATTTAGTGGACATTCCACCAGCTGCATCTTTACGTCAAATAGCTGGGAACAGTGATGGACATTACTTTTGTACAGAGTTGCCCAATGGTAAACGTTTGTTTCACAGTGCAACCAAAAAAAGTGGTCATCAAAAGAAATTTCCAATTCATATTGCAAGGTATATTATAAATTGTCAGTTAAAATGTTTTCAAGGGATTAATGAATTAAACTGTTTAATTATTGTAGAGAAGTGTTGGCATCTCCAAAACTATTAAATGTTGAAAATCGTATTGACTGGAGAAAATGTGAGCAATCTTTAGATGAAGAAGAGAATGATGTTAAATTGTTTCGCGATGCTTTTGAGCCTTTTAATCCAATAAAAGATTAATTAATGACTGATTTTAATCATGATTATTACAATAATATTTGTTACAATAAATAACTGGTTTTAAAAAGAGTATTAGGTACAATTTAAATACTCAAATTTAAAGAAAATTAAAATTATTATTTGTAGGAGTGATAATTCAAAAGTATTAGATGTAAATAAAGTAAATTTTCACGTTTTCACATATAGTTAAAAATGATCAGTATAATATTATAAACTTTTATACATTAAATAACCAGCAAATTATTTAGATGTATATTTTATACTTATAAGTTATAATTGTATACATGTGATCTGTAAATATTTATCATAACTGTAAATGTGTAATTATATTATGTAATATATTATAGCAAACATGAAAAAAAACAATCATCCTTTAACAATACTTTATGATTTTATATCTTTAACATTAAGAGATTTAAATAGTTTAATTGTGAGAACAAATTACTAGATTTTAGCCATATCTTCACTATTTGAAATGTATTTAGAGCATTTTTTTGTCATGCATAGAGTAACACTGAAAATAAATGAAATAATTTGCAGTCCAGTATTATACTATATAAAATCTAGATTAATTATTTTAGAAAATCATGATTTTATTTTGAATTAAGTGTAGAATATTTATCAGTTAAGGAAAATGAGAATTATGATTAGAATTGATTTATTTTTCATATTATTTATGATTCCATCCAGATAAGACATATATTTTTTATTTTTTTAATAACATAATATTATAAATTAATACACTATGTAATATGTAAAATAATTTAATACAAAATAATCAAATGTATTGGCCATATAAATTATGCAATTATAAAAACATATAGATGATGATAATTCAATTAGGCTTTGAAAAAATCAGCCAAGTTTAATCATTTAATTATATTTATAACACTGTAAATTCTTAATCATAGTTAAACAACAACTTTGATTTTATATGAGTTTGTCATGAATCAGCATCATGGTTTACCATAGTTTTACTTTAAATTATGGAGTGTATCCAAATTAATTTTCACTTCAAAGTTTAAATCACCATGAGATTTTTAATTTTTAAGGAACCAACATTTGATATTTACTTTGAACTATTAAATATTTAAAATGTCAATGGACAACTATTTATTATTTTGGAAAATTTTTATTTTTTAACAGAGATCTAATTATTTTAAATACATATAGCAATAGATGCCTTATTTAACATAGTAACGCAACACAAATTAATTTTATTTATTTAATATTATTATTGAATTATTTCATAGCTTCAACTGGTGGCTCATTTCTCATTACAATTGATACTCTTCGTTTTCGTACAATCTGCTTATCATTGAACACAGATGGTGCACCATCACTTAATATTTCATGTGTATATTGGTATCGAACTGAATTTCTATTTAAATTTCAACAAAAAATAAGAAACAAGAACTTATAATAAATATAAAATAATAATAGAGAAATAATAAGCGATTAATTTTAAAGGACATAATAAGTTTCTTTGACTGGTTTTTACTGTTTTAAATTGAACATTATAGTGGAGTAATAATGTTCCAAAAATATTTATTTGCAGTAAAATTATTTATAATAAATAAGTTGTTAAACAATTCATAACTTAGCAAAATATTACTATGAAAATTTAAATTTATGAAAAATAATTTTTATATGTAATGTTAAAACTAAAGTTACAACCAGTATTGGGATATAAATTTAATATTTCTACCTAATTTTTAAACATGCAGACACTTTAAGATAATTTATATATCTACAGAATAAACAATTTTATTTTATCATACAACTGTTTTTCTTTCTGAATGTCTACTTAATATGCAAAATATATCCTCTCAACTATTGTTTGAATACATTTATATTCATACAAAGTCTATATTTAATTTAAAAAAATATTATATTAAAAATATTATGTAAAACTTACTTCATAATATATAATGAACGACGAGGTAACAGAGCATAAACTACATAGGTGTCAGGATAGTTTTCATCAGCTAAACGCATAACAGAGTCGGACAGTAAGCTTAAGCCGGCAATTATATTTCCACAGAACTAATTAACAAACAAGAAATAATATATTATGTTTAAAATCTATTTTTGATAAACTAAAAAATAGTTGTATTATTTGATAAATATTCATAAAAAAAAAAAGAAAATAATTCATTTATTTGGAAATGTTAGAAATTCAAGTATTTAATACTTACTCGTATACTATCTATATGTGGTTTGACATAACCATCATCACATAAATCAAGTACATGAACTCTTTGCATTTGTTCTGTGATTGATTCATTAGCAAATACTTTATTTCTGAGCCTTTGTATCACATTTGTATTTTTTTGATCTTTCCATGACATAATTTCTGTTTCCCTATATCCATGTATGGCCTAGGTAAACAAGCATTTTTTTAAATACTATTAATTTAAGTAGCAATATTAGAAATAAAATATGCTTACATCGTCCCAATGATCATGCTGATAACGTAGACGTTTTAATGACTTTTCTATTTCATTAATTAGTCGTGATTCTTCATCCACGGACACAATGTCTGGTATAATGGTAAATGAAGAATCAAATTGTTGCCGTTTAATGTCAACTAAATTTTTAATCTTTATTTCATTTGGAAATTTATATTTTATATATTCATTCTTATCGACAGAATTTAAAATGTACTCAGTTGATGAAAATGATGTGCTTAACAATTTACTCAAGTGAAACAAACGAGGTACAGAGAAAAGTTGGTTGAGCATAAACTTTTTACAAGCCAAATTAAAAATAAACATTTTACTGAAATAAATGATTATCCAACCACATCAATTTTTAAATTTCCTAACAATATTTTCAATTTCACACTCCATAAAATAACACAAAATATTGTGTTAAAGGCACAATAACCAGCTGAGATAAGACAAGATCATAGAATAAACTAATTTCAGTATCGTTAACCGTCTGTGACCTGTATATACTATATAGCGATTATTTTTTTTTCTTTATCTCTCGAGGATTATGGAAAAACGAAATAATAAACTAACAGTTTGTTTAGTCATAGATTGACACCTAATACATATAACATATCTAAAGATCGTTCACCATAGTACCATTTTAATCATTTGATTGTTCAATCACTAAACCATATTATTAATAAGTAATAACCGTGCTAGTATTAATCACTATTTACAGTAAGTTGAGCCATAAAATAATTGTGTGGTTGAGCCTTAACAGTTAAGACGGTTCAGTTTCAGTCCAATTGTCATACTCGCAAATCGCAGACTGGCGAGTGGCGACTGCTGAGATAGTTTGATAAGGTGTAAACATTTGGCATATCAGTTAAATGTAAATATATGAGATTTATTCACCACTAGATTACGCATAATATTCGATGTTCCTATGTTCGATAAAGGATCAAATTTTCGTACAGAATTTTAACAAGAGAATAGCTTAAACGATTTTTTAATTCTTTGGTAATAGGTTAATTCTTATATTATATTATTGTTTAAAATACTTAATTACCGAAGTTACTTTTATAATTACAATTTGCTCATTAAGTTTAAAAATTCTAAAACTATTAAAGTAATTTTAGAGACGTTGTAGTTTCACAGTGCTTATTTGAATGTTTTTTTTGTAAAAATAGATAAAAGCTTAGAATTTATAGACATAATTAAAAAAATGTTATTGCATAAATTATATGATTTAATTATAATATTCGTAAAAGTCTCAAATCTATATAAATAATATTTTTAAATCTTAGTAAAATAACTAAAGTTGTTTTTCTTTGTTTGATTATCCAATTTAGTAGGTATATATTTAAATTTAAAATATCTATTAAAGTAATTTTATTTGTAATAAATTTTTAACAGGTTTAAGTATTAACTTTTGAGGACCCTTTCATAAAATTGTCAAGCTTTGCACAAGCGAATTTAGGGGGAGGGGGTACTTGGGAGCTGAAACACTCACCGTTCCGCATATTTTCATTAAAAATTACTAATAATTCGCTGAGTGACGTATTTTTGGTACGGGCTATCAAAACAAAAAATTACATTATATTACATTGTATTGTTTTGTAGATACCTAATTATCAAAAAATAATAAATTTTGAATTGTTTATAATTTTTATGTTGCTTAATTATGTAATAAATCCAAAATACATGCACAATATAATTAAGACTGGGTTTCCTCGCTGTTTGAACATCAAATTATTATTTTTTTTCCCCAAGTTATACATAATAAGTACTTAAGAAATATAATTAACTAAATAGCACCCACTATAAAAAAATCTTAGATCCGCCACTGAATCTTGTCTATAGAAATTGTAAATTTTATAAATTATTGACTAGGTATGAAAAAAATGTGTAAACTTTTATAAATTTTGTTAAAATTTTAATTTCAAATGCTTATGAAACATAGCATATGTATTTTAATATTTTTAAATTTTTGTAAAAATAAAAAATTCAAAAAAATCTAAAAAGTCAAGATTTTTAAATTCCAATAAAAAATTTAAAATATATTTAAATAATTACAGGAAGTGTAATGTTTCAAAATTTTACATTAGGTATATAATTCAGATAAAACAAAATATTTAATAATATGAAGTATATAATTATCTAATGTTTACGAAATTTGATCTTTAGTTTATAAAAAATATATGTGACCTATCGCTAAATTATTTTTCGATTTATTATATATATATATTGAAAAATCTTATACTAAATTTTCTAACTTTCGGTATAAAAAATTTAAAATGTTTTCTATGCATTTTTATTCACAAAAATTTTTACAAAATTTGAATTTTCAACACATAAAATCACAAAATTATTTTACATACGTTTCGAGTTAAAATTTCAACGAAATTAATTAAAATCACAAATATTTTCAAATAATGTTGTAGTTATATATTTATAAAATGTTGTCATTTTATAACTAAGAATTAGAACTCAATTTAGAAATGAAGTTTAAGTAATTTAATATAGTGTTCCTCACAAGTAGTTTATACTATGACCAAAAAGTCTAAAGTTTAGACTTTAAACATAATATAAACACGATTTATTTTATAGGCATTTTAAGTTAAAATTTGATTTTAGATATTTTATCAAAAATAATATAATTTTAGTTATTTTGTTGTTATTTAAAAATACTATTCGTAATTATTTACAACTTTTAAAAAATATTTAATATTGAATGTTATACATAGGCATACAGTAGGTATACACAATTATTATATTTTCAAATGTAATGTTTTAGGCAAAAATTACCTATTTTCTCGCTTTTTACTTAATACATAATATATTACATAGATAAAAATAAAAATAAATAATTACATTTTTTCTAAATAAGGTATGAAAAACTTATCATAAATGACATATCAACGTTTTGACAGATCAAAAAAAGCTTCTTACAAAAAATAGATGCAAAATGTATTACCTATTATAATACATCCTCTCAAATTACATGTTTTATTTTGTGGATTAAATATTACACTAAATGCAAAAAACATAAATTTAAAAAAAAATTATTTACCTTTGATTAGAAAAACGTTTAAACTTTAGTTTACTTTAAACGATTTACTAATTTTTGGAGGGAAGGTTACTTGTTCAATTATTCACAATTTCACACTTGCACCAGTCATGGAGACACCTACTCAATTTTAGCTTGAATTCATAGCCGAAAAATAAACATAATATTTAATTTTTATTAAATTCTTTATTTATTTTATAATAAATTTAAGTTTTTTTCTCTGAAAGATTTATATTTATTATATTATTTTATTGTATTTATTACCTTTTTTATTTTTAAAATTTGAGCGAAGCGATTAATATAGGTATTGGTTTTATAATAATGTGTAATTTTTCTTTTGGTTTCCGTGTACATATTAAGTAGTTGATAAAACGTTTTAATTTTCAACTTTGAAGAAGGTTTTGGATAGCAAATTGAATCTAGTTTGTACTTCAGAGAGATAAAAAAAAAAAAACACTTACTGTACTTTTTAGTTTTTATTATTGATAACAACTATCAAAAAACTAAAGAAAAATAGGAAATTGTACTTTAAATCAATTATTGAATAAATTTATTTCTTTGTTTTGTTATGATTAAATAACGAGTAGCTGCAGAAACTTAAAATTTTCTAGATATTTTCAAAATAATTTTTTTTTTTTTAAACTATTGACAAATGAAATTTTCAATTAATTTTTATAAATGTCGATAAAAAAAAACTTTGATTGAGTAAAAATGTTTGAAAATTTAATACAAGGCTACTTATAAGTGGCTCGTGTCTAATTAAAAAATATCGAAAATTTTTAGTCACAATTTTTTTCAACCTACCATTATACTATCCACTTGTAAAAGTGAAATAAATTAGGTACTTTAATATATACATTAAAAATTATATTATATATAATAATAGGTGATTTAGGCCGACAGACTGTTTTTGATCAGAACTGTTTTTTGTAAGTTTAAATTTAACATAAACCTACATAATAGACTATAAATCTAATAATGTACTACAAAGCCAAGTGGTATATCCATTTGACTTCATTTTTTCTATAAATGTATGTACAATGTATTATTTTCAAGCTGTACCTTGAGCACATTATAATAGCTTGTAAATTAAAATTATTGTTATATAAAAAAAAAATCAATTTATTCTATATCTATATCTACATTACTGGTGTATGTAATGAAACAGATAATGTTAGTCACAATTTTCTTATTTTTTTAATCAGAAAAATATCTTTTTCCAATTAAAAAATATTACACAAGTATAAAATAAACATTATTTAAATAAAAGTGTGGGTAAAAGTAAGTAACATTATTGTACAGCAAAACTTGTCCACTTTAGTGTGTGTCATTTTAAAAATAAAAAAAAATACTTTGTATGAATGTTGTATCATATGAAATAATATTAAACTATGATATACATATACGTAATGTGACCATATTTTCATGTGCAAAAAGAGGAACTCTAAAAATATTTAGTTATTCTGAATTACTGATACACATGCAATACCTAGATATTTTTAACATTCATTTTTTTAACACATCATCTGTAAATATATTCTTACAATAGGTGTAGATAACTGTGCGAAAGTGTTATAAGATATTATTAGTGGTTTTATATAAACACAATAATAAAGAGACCCTTCAAATAAAAACCATTTCCGCTCCTATTATATAAAATTATAAACAATTTACATTCATTTTAATTTCACATGTATATTATACTTTCATACTTTTATATTCTGATAAAAACGTAAAGTAACATTTGAACACTACTTTTTATGAAACATAATAAATAAATTATGCAAATTGGTTATATTTATATTTAATTTTAAACTATAATTGATAATAGAATAATGATAGTGGTCACAATGCTTGGATTATATACATTTTTAAGTAAAACCATACATGAATTATTAAATTTTAATATTTATCATTCAAATAAAATTTAAAAAAATTTTAATTTTTGTAAATACGGGACCATTCAAATATATATCCTAATGCGAATCGATTGGTCACACAACCTATATCCTATGCGATTTGTTTTTGGATTAAATTTTAATTATACATAGCAATAAAGACTATAGTTATAATTAAATATCCTTAGACGTATAAATCGACAAACCAGTCGGTACTTTAGATTTTTTTTAATTTTATTTCTATAAATCTTCTTCTTCTTCGGTAAACTCGCCCACTAGGACCATCCCGACATACATCCTTGCCTCCAATTTTCTCTATCCGATGCCTGTAATCTCCAGTCTACTCCTTCACCTAATGCTTTCACATCATCCCTAACTCCGTCCTCCCATCTCCGACGTGGTCTTCCCAGCGGTCTTTTTCCAGTAGGGTTCTCTTCCAGTACCATACGTATGAGTAGGTTTTGACTACGCCAGGCATACCCAGCCCATAGCAATCTTTTGTTTTTTATTGTTTCGAGTATACTGGGTTTATGAAAGAGTGTCTCTAGTTCATCATTTTTTCTTATTCTCCATTCCTCACTAAGCATGTCTTTTACTGGTCCAAAGATCTTCCGCAGTATTTTTCTTTCCAGAACTAAGAGTACTAAATATCGATATAAATGTTTTTGTTGTCAAAAAACTCGAAAATTGAATATAAATTATAATATTCCATATAAGTTATTCTCATAGATAAGTATATATAAAAATATTTAAGATGTAAATCCACAAATTATCTATATAAATGTTTAAATGTTGACAAAACTTGTATGTATGTATGTATGTATGTATGTATGTATGTATGTATGTATGT